AAGAACAACTAAAGGGTGCTTAATAGATTGATACACTTTATTAAAACTTCATCTACATCATACAAAAGACGCGGAGTTATCCGCAGACATGATGACAAAACTATCTGCGGAGACGTCTCATGGATGCACGAAACATGCTTCCTTCGTACATGCTCAGAACATGTCTACGGACTATTTTTGGATGACTAGTGCGACAGGACTAGCATACGAGAAAGAAGCAAGCCTCCGACAGTGTGTGCGGGCTGTTCTTTTTATTTATTTTTTATTTATGAATTAGCAGAGTGACCCCGGCTTACATTCCGACCCACAGAATCGTTTTCTGCCGGGAAGAAAAGCGGTTCCCAGGTTCCTATGCGGAACGCAAGTTTGTCTGCAAATTGGTCCGCAAGTTCGTCTGCTAGTTTGTCTGCAAGTTCGTCACAGGGGCCCCGATGATGTCAGAACGCCAAGCTCTTATTTGACTGACTGAAAACAAAATAGTGGGTAGACCTCAAAGGCATCCAGCACTGAGGTCTACCCACTATCCTTCCAATCAAAGCCAATCAGAACTCGGCATCGTTCTGACGTCACAGCCACCCCTTGCTCAAGAAGCAGACGACTTGCTCTCCGAATACTCTTCGTTCCCTCTCGCACTCTATCCTTTTCCTCTCCCCGCAGGGGCGGGTACTTGAGCTACTTTTCGCAGAAAGGAGGAGGGTCTCCCTCTCGGATGGGCGCCACTGTCTTGCTGTTTGTCTATTTTCTGATAGACAAGCCTGGATGGATGGATGCAATGATGCTAATGGCTGTACCCTTTATAACGGGCGGTAGCTCGCGACACCTAGCCTAGAAACCAAAAGTACGATTCCTACCCTCGCCCTTCAAAGACGTTCCCACGGTTGCCAGAGTGCCCCACGAAGCATTTTCAACCCATAGTGGTCAAACTAGATTTTTTTTTTTTTTTTGGCGTGGCGGCTTGCAAATAGGATAGAGATGGAGCATTATGGGGGACTCGATCTCACGGCGACTGGTGTTGCGGCGAACGTTTTGCTCTCTCGTGACTCGTTACTCGTTTAAAGTACGCGCTTGTTCTCGACTTAGTGGTTTTTAATCGCGCAGTACAGAATTTTTAAATATATATTCCCTTTTAATACAGCAGGAAACCAAACGCGGAACTCATTGAACGTCGATCGCGTCATACTTCAATATCGATACCAATTTTCCAGATGAAGACCTCAATGAATCTTTAATGTTCGTGGAACGTGGAGCAGGAATCCGTTTCGTTTTACTGCTCGAGTTTTGCACGCACAAAAAAAAAAAAAAAAGAAGAAAATTTAGGTCTTCTTTTTGCCTCGACCGGACTCGGCCACCAACATGTGAGATCCCGTGGCCTGGACGTAAAGTTTGGCTTTCTACCAGAAACGGAAGTTGTCCCAGCCGAGCGAGTGAGCTGCGTCAGTCAAGCGTCACGTTGCGTCGAAACGACGCTTTTTCCATCCACGTTTCGACGCGAAGACGTCGAAACGACGTCAGCCACTGAGGTTTCCATGAACGCCGATTGCTTCGTAGGACTCGTTGGTACGCGACGGTTGCGCGATCAACGCCGTGGCTATGGATACGTCGCAGCTGAGTGAACTGCAGCTTACAATGTTTCGATGTAGTAAATGTATGGGCGTTGTTCCGTAATCCGGGACATCCACGCGGCAAAACGAGAAATCGCCCCGTGAAGGCTGTTGCAGTTCGGCGCCGGAACCGGCCGTGTCGGAGTGGCGATTACCCAGTACAGAATGACATGTTCACATTGCGGCTGCGCAAACAAAACGCTAGGAACGAAGTAATATAAATTTCTACTAGAATTCCTCGTGGAGAAACCTCTCCTGCGCGCATTAACGCTGCAGCTTATGCAACCAGGTATTGAACTCGATCATCTTCGTCGAAGGTATTCGTCGACAATTTCGTCGTTCGCGAGCACAGTACGAGGGACACACTACTCGTTTCCAATACGGAAGCTGAATTCAGCGTGACGTGTTCGGAAAAAGAAAAAAAGACTCCGACACTGTGCATGTTGCGGTTACTTTGCTAGGTGGCGCCCTAGCAAAGTCCTCCTATTATAGAATGTTTCGCCACAACTTATTTATTTATCCACACTTTCATACACTCAGCTTCGTTGGAGACTTTTCGATAGAAAAAAAAGTCCAACGTAGTCCGCCTTTTTTTTAAAGCTTTGTGTAAAAAATTAGGATTTAGCCTTTCCATTCTCGCGTGTTAGTTTTCTTTTCATCCCACAAACGATACGCAGTCGATAAAATTATGTCTAAAATCGCTTCATGGACACTTTAAGCAACTGAAGAAAAAGAAGGGAAGAGAGAGAGAGAGCGACAGAAGGAGATAAAAAAAGAGAGAAAACTCCCGCCATGCATATCAACGGTAGAAACCAAAAAAAAAAAAAAAAAACTGTTAGAAACCTATCGAAAAAGGCGAGAAGGAAGGGGAATGCGTCCCCTCGCCCCAAATGTTCGGGGGCAATCTCGGGGGGTCCCCCACCGAATCGCCGGCGCGGAATAATCTGAAACGTACACCTCGTCTATTTCGGGATAGGAGAGAGAGCCTTCGCTGGCGGCTGAAATGTTTGCGCTTCGTCGCGGGAGAAAAGAAAAGAAAAAAAGTCAAGCAAGCCTATGGTTAAGTCAGGCAAGCCCCGAGTCAAGTCGACTCGATGCACACGCGCGTGCGCAGACGAGACGCGATTCCGGAAAAGACTGCAGCAGCTGAATAGGCCGCCATGCATGCGACCGCTGAACCCGCGTCGCGTCCAAAATAATGGAAAATTATGTATGAAAAAAAGAAAAAAGAGTGAAGGGCTACATCTAGGAAATGCGCCTTTTTCTATGGACACAGCTGCACGCGGGAGGCAAAATAAGTCGGTTGTTTGCGAGGATGATGATATATATGCGAGATGGGGGCCGAGGTGAGGTACGTGCAGAGAACCGAGGTCTAGGATGTGTGCGCGGTATACTACGTGCAGTAGCTCTGACGTCATCGCGTAGTGTCGGGGATGGTTTCGGTTGAGCGATGTTCGTGGCAATAATCTTTGAACGACACGGAAAGATGTTTTTCTTTTTGTTTTGTTTTCTCAAACCCCAGATGTCACGTAATTTTTCATTTTACGCGCTCTGGATAATGTGTTCGTTGTACCTCATTGAAGTTTTGGAGCTTTGAAACCTCCTATTTGTATAGTGTACGTAGTACCATTAAAACTCAATGATTTCGATGTTTCAAAAGACGCTTCAGACCCCCTAAAGCGTCAGTTTATGAAGCAATTTAATAGGCTTCGCTGCGAAGCAATCGCCGCGGCACCAAGTATTATGCTATCACAAGACTATATTATATGAACCGTCGTCCAGCAGCAGTATAGGCAGCAACATAACAAAATATTAAAACCACGCGTCAACATTTTGCTAATGTCCAATTACGTATTTACTCCCCAGATATCAAAAATGATGTAAAATAATTAGGCAGTACGTAATCGCCTCAAAATTTTAGGCAAAGTAACCGAATGGCTATAAAATAGTTTTTCCAAAATCAAGGTATCCCTGGTGGCAAGGCGACGGGCAGTGCATTATGGGAACAAGTTGACAACTGAGTTACGGTTTCCACTGGCCGCTGACGCTTGTGCCGAGGCCAAACATTTATGCACTTGGGAGGTCTACCGTCCACAAAGTTCTCATGCGCTAAAAGAAGAAAAAACAAACAAACATGAAGCAGAGATACATTGTTTACTTGGCACTCGCTTTAAATACAAAGAACATTGCAATATTCGCGCCGTGTGCCAGCTGCTCGCTTCTGTGGAATATTGGACGCCTCGCACGACGTCCATAACCTAGTGACAGCATTTTTCGCCTGGGGCCATAATCGCCGGAGAGGCGTAAAAGTAGTACCTTCGTTCGATTTACCTGCAGCTTCTACACCTGTGCGCTAAAGTGTAGGACAGTGTACTTCCGGTATGTGTATTGAGATACCACCGGAAGTACACCGCCCAAAACGTTTCTGCAGAGGGTGCAGGAGGTGCAGCGAGAATGGAACGAAGCTAGTGTATCGCAACAACGTGTTCATCGACAAGTCATTCTAAACCAAAACCATGATGATAGATTTGTTCTTTCTAAACTTCATAAAATAACAATGGCGGTCGCCATTTCTTGGGCATATGCACGCGATTGGATCCAAGTCCTTGACGAGCGGAGTCGAGTCGACGCCGAACCATAACGCAACCCTAGTGCCATTAAATGGTCAGAGTGCGCGTCCAAATACTGGCGAGCTCGGCTAATGGGTGACGCAGCTACCATACTCGTTGTCTCCTTAAAAAGATATTTTGCGCATTATACACAGTATAATACGCCGCACGAAGAAGTCCTAACAAGATATGGTTGTCGGAAGATGAAGCGATGCTTTTGGCGTTTGAAACGTGTACGTCTTGATAAGATAACACATATCTGATCTAAAATGCACCCTACATATATCCTAATTCTTCACATACAATGGGAAAATAATAATGCTCCATAAGAAGCCGAGATTGTTTTTTCTCTTCTGCAACGGTTTTTGATGTGAAAACGAGTATACGGAGGGCAAGTTCGTCTGCCTCTTTCGCAGATGTTGTGGTGACGTCAGAACAACGAGCTCTGATTGGCTATGACCGAAGGATAGTGGGAAGACCTCGTCGAGCTCTGATTGGCTCTGATCTAAGTATAGCAGGTAGATCTTAAGGACTTTGAGGTCTCGGATAAGGATCAATCAGAGCTCGGTGTTATGACGTCACCCCAACCCCTCCAAAAGGAGCAGACGAACTTGCGTCCGCACAGGTGGCGCGCGCATTTTCAAAAGGACCCCGCTCCGTGGCCAACTAGTTCCCAGAATGCAATGCAGGGATTTTTGCAAGTGGTCAATTTTCGGTCGCGTTCCTCCCCATGTAGGAAGGCGCCTAGGGAATGAGGGAGGCGTATCGGCGGCAGTGTGGTCCGGCTCACCGTGAGGTGTTGGAAGAGCCAGGCTCGCATGATGTTGGTCGCCACCTTGGGAAAGATGCCGCGTTTCTTCTGGCGCTTCTTGCCCCTGTCTTCGTCCTCGTCCTCGCCCGTGCCGTCGCCTGAGCCGACGCTCGCGTCGCCTGAGGAGGAAAGCAAACGACGCGCAGAAATCAATCAGCGCTCCTAAAGTAACAAGAAACTCTCGTTCAACAGATCATGACCACCCTCCCAGAAGAGGAATCGTAGACACCCCAGAACTTTCTTAACAAGCGCCGGACCAGGCGTCTAGAAATAAAGGTTATTCTCTCCCTCCTAAAGGAAACAAAAAATGTTTTTCCTTTGCGAGAAGGGGATTTTCGCTTCGCCGCACAGCACGTGGAAAGCAAACCGATCTGCATCACTCAGAACATAAATATTCACTAGTCGACCCCTTCTTTCATCAAAAAAGAAAAAAAAATAATAAACACATTTTGTTTCCAAGAGTTTGGATAAGATACGTACAGTAGTACAAAACATGCTTTACCCGATAATAAAATAAATATTAAAGCAGAATATCTGCGTCCTAAGTAACTGGCCCCGAGATACATTTTGATTAGGGAGCGATTCGGACAAAAATGCTACTATTTCGGCACGTTGACCCCGCTACAGAAGTATGTTTCCGAATCACTTCAAAATCAAATCGCGTCTCGTAACATAAATAATACCACGGTAATTTTTTTTGTGATATCTTTTGTGCATGAGAGAGGGGAGAAAAAAAAAGGGGGGGGGGGAGGTGGAAGAAGGCTACCTTGTGATGTTCTTCCCCAATCCAGGCAGCTCAAAATTATTATCTTTTAAGAGTTCGGTGTACCTTGAAGATCAGCAAGGCGTGCACAGACCCCTCAACCTTATTTGCTACTGAACGTACCATCGGGTTAGAATGAAATGCGAAGAGTGACGGAACTTGGAGCCCACTACCAGCGCAGCTTCCAAGCTTGGGTTGTGCCTGGCGAGGTTCAAACGCATCGGAGTGGGACGTACAACCTCGCAGCGCTCTGCTCCGATGTGTTTGAACCTCGCCGAGCCCAGCCCAAGCTTGGAAGCTGCACCGGCAGTGGGCTCCTCGAAGTTTCGTCACTGTTCGCGCATTTGATTTGAACACGATGGTGCGTACAGTATCATCATAAAATTAAGGGTCGGTGCGAACGCCGTTACACTTGGGCCCCAAGCCATCTCAAGGTCAACTAAATTTAACCAGCTGTTTTGCAACTCTGTCTAAATTTCGACAACGCAGAACCCAAAGCGCGAGGACGAAGAAGCAATTCAAGCGTAGCGTTCGTTCCCACCTATTATTCCCATGTGTTTATTCTAATATGCACATGTGCAATACGTCCTCGATACAGCCTATACAAGTGTGCCTAAATTAAAAAAAAAAAGCCGAATTAGAGCGCAGCTCTTAAGGAGGAGGAGGGAAGGGTACTGAAGGTCACGTGTTCTCGGGGGGGGGGGGGGGTCACGTGACCTCACAATTACGCCGACGGCGACGCCAAAACGACAACCCATTTAATTGCTAAAAATTAATTCCCTACCAAAAAAACGCAGAAAAAAATCTTGACCCGCGCGTGTGTGAGGGACCCAATTTTACCCTACAGAGGGCGCCGGTGCGTTAGCTCGTCGTTTGCGGTTGCAACGCACTCCGTCACAGTCAAGCGAAAACGCGTGAACGAGCTTTTGTCGTTACGGCTGAGTCGACATGCTACCCAATCTCGTCAAGATGCACAGCTTCCTCGCCTGAACGGACGCCGAAGAAAGACACACGACCGACCCTCCACAAACAAACAGTTTGCGCACCATGATAAAGGGACCATGCACCAGCAGAGAGCCTAGATTTAAGAGAGGGAACAGAGGGAGCCACGGGGAACGTGTGCAGTATAATGGCGGATGCCTCCGGTATTGCAAACGCGGCCCGCAAACCACGTGACATCCAGCACTACATGGAAGCACTGTGCACTCTAGACACTTTATGCACCGCGCGCCCCATACGCGGTGGCGGCGGTGGACTGAGAGAAGGGTGTCTGTGGTCCAAAGTGCGAGCACACTGTCCGCGATCCTGAGAAAACAAAAGCGAGGCCGTTCTCTACCAAGTGCCGCCGTCCACCATGTAGAGGCGCTGCCGACCCTGGCGTCGTTTTTATGGCCGGCCAATCAGACCCGCTATCTGGACACAGCACAAACATGCCTCGCGTGTATGTGTGTGAGTGTGTCTCAAGCAGTTGGCCCTCCCAGGCCAACCGGTCTGCCGTGTGTTGCTCTTCTGCGGTCCAAGACATTTTGGAGTTCCTCCTCCTCCTCCTCCTCCTCCTCCTCCTGCGTGCCTGCGGGGAGTCTGTATGCACCCCCGTCGGTTCTTGCCTTTCTGTTGCTTCTGTCGCTGACGGAGTAGTTTTATGACCTTTCCCCAAGCGAAGTCGACGAGTCGGCTGGTTTGTCGGGCACCCTGTCGCTATGTGTCTGTTGTAGTATACCCCGGTGTGTCGGGAGTTTGATTTGTGGCACGCCGGTGGTTTCGGACACCCGACTGACCGATGGATGATGTATCCGATAGCTGGCAGGTGATGGAAACTCTAGTTGGGACGATCGAGAGTGTACATATAAGCTCGATGGGGTCAACGCCACCTGCTGGTTACCTTGAAACGATTACTTGATGACAATATGATGATTACACTCCATAAGGACTACAGAAACACGACTTTCTTAAATTCTCGTGATGTTTAAGCAATACGTTCGTAATTCACGGGCCCTGGATTGAAACTAACGATCCTAAATAATCGTGTTCCAATTATTATTATTATTATCATTATTTCAAATAAGTGCATGGTGCCCGACTGCCGTGTGATAATGTCCCCGTAAAGGTGTCGATTGAAGCCGCGAATAGAAAATTGAACACGAAACGCGTAAATCATGCAACGTCAGAAGCATTAAAAAAGCTTATGTACACAAAAAGAACATTCAAGTTAGCCGCTACACCCACTAAACTCCTAGCATACTCTAGCCTTGTTAGACCAACACTGGAATATGCAAATATCGTATCGTTTCCTCATACGAAGAATGATATAGCTAAGCTTGAAAACATACCACGCCAAAGCAGTAAGATTTATTTTTAATAAATACAGGCGCACCGACTCACCAACTGAACTTCTTTAAAAAGTCTGGTCTCCTTACACTACTTAACAGGGCTAAGCGACTTAGGCTTAGGTTCTTGTACTTTCTGCTACATGATGATTTCAAAATTGACAAAATCCGAAACCTCTCTTTTTCAAATACTAAACAGACCAGGCACAAACATAGTAAAATCTTGACTGAAGATTGCTTTAAAAATGGCTGCTTCCACTACTATTTTTTTTTCCTTTAGCTACTAGAGAATGAAGTCAACTAGACCATGTCATTACTAACAGCACCTCCATCACATCGTTTCTACACCGGTTGGATGTCTTAGTTTTATTGCACAGTGAGGTGTAATTATGAACAACTTGATTTGCATATTTTTTTTTTATTTTCACGTGTGTTTGAATAGTGGTTGTATAATTTGGCTTCAAAAACTGTACGTTAACAATCGTGAATTATTCTTAAAGGTATTGCTACTCTTCTTTATATCCCAGTGTTTATTGCACAAATTCCTTGCATTTTTATGTTGTAGATGCGATGAAATGTGAACGAGTGTGCACTTATTTTTGTGTGTTGCTTCCTTCTAAAATCCCTAAGGTACTGGCAGTATTTTAAAATAAAAAAATAAACGAAACAATATATAAACAAACGAGAAAAAAAAAGAGCTGGAGCGTCCCAAGTTTGAATCTCAATGAAATTGCGAGCCAAAATAAAGAGAAATCAAAATAAAACAAAATAGACGAGTGAAAATCTCGTTGTGTCCCAACAGCGAGAGAAAGCAGGAGTCTTGGGAAGTTTGTCGGGAGCTTCCAGGGCGAACATAATCACCGGTCCGCTGGACACATAACTCAGGACCGGGTGAAGGCAACGAGAAAGAGCAGAAGAGAAAGCGAAGAGAAAGAGATCTCGCGTGTGTTTGTGTCAGGAAGGCGTATAAAGAAAACGCGGAAGAAAAGAAGGCCCGCTTCGCTCAACGAAATTCGGAGGTTCCTTATTTATGAGGAGGGGGGGGGGGGGGGGGGGGGATTCTCGCCGGCGGAGAGATTGACGGCGCCCGGCACGTTCTATGGAGGTTCCCCACGCTTCGCTCGCTCGCTGACTCTTCCGACGAAATACAAAACCCCGTGGAGAAGGAGCCATGGAATAAGGGGAGGGGGGGGGGGGGGGGGGGGGTGGGGGGTCAGAGGCAGACGGAACGGCCACCGCCCTTCCTTCTGGCGGTAGGGTGGCCAGAGCAGTGGCACCGCCAAAGATCGTGGCCAGATGCGAAGCAAGAGACGAGAAATGGGCAGCGCCATATCTTGGGAAGTGGAAAACGTTGTGTCGGGCACGAAACGACAGATCTCCAAGAAGGATGTATACATTTCTCTCCGTGACAGTGACCTTTTTTTTTCTTTTTTTCATTCACGAATCTTTAAATTGTTTAAGCTGTTGACGTGAATGAGGGAAGCGGCGCGCACCGATGTGATGCCAAGCTGCACTGCCAACAAAAACTTTTGTTTTTATTGCGGTGTTTTGGTACTGAGATATTGTTATACCACAGTCTTTTTCTTCTTCTTAACTCGGTGATCAATTTTGAGGACCATTCCAGCGTGTCTGTGACTTTCAACCGTTAGGGCTTCTAGAAAAATTTGCGCTTGGCACGCTATGAAATTGGTTGTCCCTGTGCCACTAAACTTTGCAATCATCATCATCATCACCCTCACCACAGTCACTGAAGGCTTAAGAAACGCCGAGTGAGGCCTATTACGTTTAAGCTCCTCACTTCGTGGTTGGTCCTCCGTCGCAATATCATTGGCTGCGGAGCTAAAATGAGATGCTCGGCATCCTCCGCACCCTTCGTTACTTAGACTGTGGACGACTGTACATAGCATCATAGCCTCCTTTGTTCTAAAAAGCCCGTCAATTTCATGACGGAGCCATCGAGCGCGCAGCCACCAGAAAAAAGCGAGGAGCAGAGCCGATGGGTTACCCAGATGGTAGCGCAGAGCCACCT